TGTGTGCGTGCGAGAGATGCTAAGTTGTCTTGCACATTGTGACACTTTCATTAACTTTTGACATGTAATCAGTTAAGAGACTGCTTATCCTTCCTGGTCTCAACACTTTTCCCATGATTCCTCAATCCTTCCCACTGACAGAGGGATATAAATGGCTGGCCAAGCTGATTACAGGGCTAACCGAACTGTGTGCCTGACTAGACAACTCAACGGGCGTCTGACTGGGCCGATGACATGTGACCGTTTGACTACACTCGATCTAGTGATCTTCGTAACTGATACCTGATTCAAATCAGATGGTAATGTATGCAATATGTGATACGATGTTTGAGTGGAACTTACAGTTGAGTGTTTCCAGTAGCGTATGATTTCCTGAAGGTTATCTGCTGGGTTGAAGAGGAAATGCTCTCTCCATTCATTCCAATCCACAGACATAGTTCCATCCGCATCAATACTGGAGGATAAAGGGTCAAATTAGAGAAGACATGTGAATCTGGATTATAATGTCCTATGTGACCCTGGACCACAAAACCAGTCATAAGTAGCACGGGTATATTTGTAACAATAGCCAAAAATACATTGTATGGGTCAAAATTATAGATTTTTCTTTTATGCCAAAATTTTGTAGAATATTAAGTAAAGATCATGTTCCATAAAGATATTTTGTAATGTTCCATGAAGATATTTTGTAAATTTCCTACTGTAAATATATCAAAGCTTAATTTTTGATTAGTAATATGCATTGCTAAGAACTTCATTTGGACAACTTTAAAAGGCGATTTTCTTCAATATTTTGATGTGTTTTGTTTTTGCTCCCTCAGATTCCAGATTTTCAAATAGTTGTATCTCGGCCAAATATTGAACTAACCAAACAAACCATACATCAATGGAAAGCTTATTTATTCAGCTTTCAGATGATGTATAAATCTCAAATTGACCCCTATGACTGGTTTTGTGGTCCAGGGTCACCTATGTGATAAAGTTATCCTAAAGCCTAACGACTACGAGTATATCATACACTGAACAAAATTATAAACGCAACACTTTTGTTTTTGCCCCCATTTTTCATGAGCTGAACTCAAAGATCTAAGACTTTTTCTATGTACACAACAGGCCTATTTCTCTCAAATATTGTTCACAAATCTGTCTAAATCTGTGTTAGTGAGCACTTCTCCTTTGCCAAGATAATCCATCCACCTCACAGGTGAGGCATATCAAGATGCTGATTAGACAACATGATTATTGCACAGGTGTGCCTTAGGCTGCCCACAATAAAAGGCCACTCTAAAATGTGCAGTTTTACTGTATGGGGGGGTCCGGGGGGGGTCCGAAAACCAGTCAGTATCAGGTGTGACCACCATTTGTAAAACTGCACATTTTAGAGTGGTCTTTTATTGTGGCCAGCCTAAGGCAGACCTGTGCAATAATCATGCTGTCTAATCAGCATCTTGATATGCCACACCTGTGAGGTGGATGGATTATCTCGGCAAAGGAGAAGTGCTCACTAACACAGATTTAGACAGATTTGTGAACAATATTTGAGAGAAATAGGCCTTTTGTGTACATAGAAAAAGTCTTAGATCTTTGAGTTCTGCTCATGAAAAATGGGGGTAAAAACAAAAGGGTTGCGTTTATAATTTTGTTCAGTGTATATAATCATTTCCTTCATGATAACTATAGAAATCCCAAGAAACCCTGCACTCTGCAATACTTTATCAGTGGACTAATTAGATTAAGCATGAGTATTTCACAAGCAAAGACTATACACAAACATACTGTGCACTTTACTAATCACTGACAACACAAATGTGTTGCAGAGTTATACATAAATGTTCTATTCCATTTATAAGTTAACGCTATCACTTTATTATTGCATTAAAGCAACTGAAATTTGTATCAGGCGTGTAACATTTAGCAAAGTGAGCGTAATCTTTATTATCCAGTGAGTTATAGGCTGCTTTGCTATAAATGAAATGAAGTACAACTCAATAGAACTTTTATTCAATTTTTCATTCATTTCCTTCTTGGTGCGAGCAAGCCTTGGGATTACCTGTTGAGGATCGTCTCTGCATCTCGATCTGTCAAGTTTATGCCCATGTCTTTAAGTGACTGCTGGATTTCTTTGGCATCGATGCGACCTGCATATGCAATTAATGTTGTTAATGTTTATTTTATGATCAACAAAAGCAGAAGGTGCAATGACAAGTGTTTCAGTCTCTAAATTAGCATGATTAGTGGATGTAAGACTTCAGGTCAAATTTATTTATATAGCACCTTTCACAATATACATAGTTTCAAGGCAGCTTTACAGAAAGTGGTATTGTTGTCTATAATGCCTTGATGCTTTAACAGAGTGGTTTTAGGGTACAAATGATCCTATGAATTTAATGGTTAAAATGGATTAGTCCACAAATAAACGGAGCAAAAAACATAATAGTATACTTTAATCTTACCATCCTGATTTTTGTCCAGACTCTTGAAGGTCAGTTTGAGTTTTTTCTCGTGTTCTTTCAGATACTTTGAAAACTCCTCAAAGTCCAGCCCTTCATTCCTATCAGTGTCTCCGGAGGCAACAATTTTCTGTAAGAGAGAAACATAACACAGTCCATGAGATTCCTGGAAAATGTGCATCACTGAGTACTAGATCCTAAATATAATATAAACATTAATATTTTGCACATCATACAGATTCTCTGGAAACACTGACTTCTCAACCTTATAGTAGATTTAATAAATAAATAAAACCTTTAGCCCTCATTTTCATATTCAAACAGACAAACCCAGCTCAGTTTGTTCTGACATCAATGTAAACTTTAAAAACACTGCCACCCAGTGTTGTCATTTAGATGCAATCATATACTACTTCACACTTCAGTACAATGCAGAAATTCAGGCAAATTTCTCCCCAAAATCAAAACGGACAAAACAAGAAAAACATTACAATGTATCTATGTGACCTGATGAGCTTGCTGGCACACTCTTTGTCTTTGAACTTTGATACAGTGGGTCTCATTTGCTTAGGCGAGGTGGGGTTATATCAGCTGTCTCAAAATGGGTAAGGAATGTCAAAGGATAATGGAATGTAGGTTTAATATCAACATGAGGAGTGTCTTTACCTACCCTTCTGCTTTAAGTGCACTTTCATGCAAAAGACAGGAAATGGCATTACCTGTATATGATTGGAAAACCCTATCTGAAATGACAGCTGAGATGTTGGGGGGACTGTTGAGGCAAATAAGCTATTGTCTGTTATTTCCTATAGTCTAAGTTCGGTGACTATTTTTATGTGCAATAAAAAGCATGACTATATTCACTCCTAACTTAAATAGCATCAAATATTACTAAGAGGAGGAAGAAGAAGAGGAGGTTGTGGGCTGGCACTAAATGCATCATTTCCCATCATATCTTTGAAGTACTACTTATGGTATTTACTATTAATGGTTTAGCTTAGAAGCATGTATTAATATCTGCAATACTGCATCAAACAAGATGGTGGATTTTTCTTAGTAGTAAATTTCCTTTGCATGCGAACAATATAGGAACCCAACAGCCTGTCAACGTGGTTTATTGGTTTATGGGGTTTATACTGAACCCAAAACCCAGATCTACAACAAACGTGAGTCAACAACAGAGATGCAGTGAGCCAGTGAACTGGAATTACCTGCGCTTCACCTTTCCCCATAGAGAAGCCCATAGCAGCCAGGCCCGTCTTGAGCTCAGAAACATCCACTTTCCCATCTTTGTTAACATCCAATTTCTCAAACAACTCCGCGAAACTTTTCGTGTTGTCCTCCTCCAAACAATGCGATTCGGTGAACACGACTTTCCTTATAAGCTGATACATGATGAAGTGCGATGTAAACCGTATTTATATTTTTACTGCACGGGATCCAAAGATTGCAGGCAAACTGCGGAAGAACAGCAGTTGCCTGGCAATGGAGAAAACAGACCCTCCCTTAACGTCTTGCCCCACTGAGTTAAACTATAGTAGTCATACTTTTATTGCCACTATCGCTTGAAACTCAACACATCAGGTTTAATGTGTAGACGTTCGGTCTGGGCTGAGCTGAGCTCAGAAGGAGGGACTAGCATTACTAGGGCATTTGCCTGCGGTGCCTCGTTTTAGACGGACACACCCAAATGTACACACAACATTATGAAGCTGCAGGCCCGGAGACCCAACTGCACACTCAGGCCTGCACGCTCAGACCTATCGTTTTTTCAGACACTGATAGATAGATAGATAGATAGATAGATAGATAGATAGCATCCTTATTCCAGTTCTCTAAAATCCACTAATAACATGTTTTATTATTATTATTATTATTATGTAATTATTATATTATTAGTTTGTTTGCATGGTTTCAAAGCAGCTTTAAAGAAAGCCACGTATAATAGCATGTTTTATTTTATTTAAATTATTACTAATAAAATATTTTTTAGTTTTATTAGTTTTATTTGTACTAATAACATTATTATTATTATTATTATTATTATTATTATTATTGCATGCTAAAATGTGCAATGCACAATTGTGATCTTAATATGATACAATTAGAATCTTCAGTTTTGCACAGCTGTAGAAACAAATCCCTAGGCTTAGATCATCCTAAATATAGCGAGTTACTACAGTAGTCAGATATGGATGGAATAAATATAGCTTCAAAAGACCGCATAGCAATTATTATAATTTAGTACCTGTTAGAGAATCAGATATCAGTCGAGACATACATAATAGCCTAGTTGATGGCCAGAGGCAACTTTGAAACATTCACGATATTGTTACAATAGCCCTTTTATGGCGCTCATAACAATCTCTAATGCTATTTTTCTTACAATATAATTTCTATATCACTTAGTATGAGGGATTTGTATTAGACAATAGCCCTATGAGACAAAATGTCTCTACCACAGATATTGTCTGTCTGAACACTAGAGGTCCTCCGGTGTACTGCAGAGCTGCTGTGGCAAAGTGCGTGACAGCTTTACGACAACTGTACTTACATGTGTTGCTTTACGACACACGCAATCGCTTTACGGAAGAGTGTAGCATGTTCACTGATATTGACATTTTAATCCGTAGTTTAAGGAAATAAATAACTGCAAATTTGAGTGTATATCGTATACGAGTTCTGGATTATTTGTAACTTGTTTCCAAAATGGGAAAGCCGAAAAAGAAGAGTAAGTATTCACTGCTAAGTTTAAGCAGAACGTTTTCTGTTAGCTGTTGAAAGCATGTTGTCTATATACTAAGACTTATATGCTTAACATCACATGTAAGGAAATGTTATATCTTATTTTTCAACACAAGCAGTTTCGTAAATGTTCGTCACTGTTAAAATGGCAATGTGACAAAGTTAACAAAGTCATGTGAAAGAATACTTTTTTTTGGATATGTTTTGTTAAAGAAGCATTAATTTGGAAGGTAGCTAGCTACTAATGTTTTCTTACTATTTCAAAAGTACAACACAAGTATCTGTCAGGATATCTTTGGAATATATTTGCATTTTGGGTCAGACGTAAAGTTTATGATAAAAAGTTGTAACAATCAGCCCGAGTAACTAGTTCTGTCTAGGGCAGGGCTGTCCAAACTCGGTCCTGGAGGGCCGGTGTCCTGCAGAGTTTAGCTCCAACTTGCCTCAACACACCTGACTGGAAGTTTCTATGCCTAGTAAGAGCTTGATTAGCTGGTTCATGTGTGTTTAATTAGGGTTGGAGCTAAACTAGGACAGATTTTGGACAGCCCTGGTCTAGGGTGACCATATTTTAGTTTTACAAAAAGACGACATTAGGGGGCGGGGATAGGGGCGGGGCTTCGCCGAACGGTATAACAAGTTTTTTTTTGTTTGTTTGCTTATTTTGTTTTTATAATAAATAAAAAGAAAACAAGTAGAAAGAATAGAAAAAGAATAGGGAATGCTAGTGTTAGAGGGTAATTTTGAAATAAAAAATAAAACAAAAAGTCAATAGAACGGAAAAAGAAGAGATAATGCTAGTGTTAGAAGGTCATTATTTATAATAAATAAAAAGAAAATAAGTAGAAAGAAAAGAGAATGCTAGTGATAGAGGCTCTTTTTTCTTTATAAATAAAAGTTACTAACAAGTAGTTAGAATAGAAATAGAATAGAGACTGCAAATGTTAGAGGGTCAAGTTTTTTAATTTAAAATGAAACCAGCAGATAAAATTAGAATTAGCATTAGAATAGAGAGTGCAAGAGTTAGAGGGTCAAATGAAGATGAAAGAGAAGCCGTTTCTTGAAAATATTAAGGACTCAGCTGCTTGGATTGAGTTGGGCAGGTCATTCCACCAGGAGGAAACAGTTAACCTAATGTAAAATCCATGAAAGTTTAATCATAGGTAGAATGCAAAATGTTTTAATACAAGCATTTCAGTCAAATGTAATTTATGCAGTATTTCAAACCTTTAACCCACTTGGGAAAATCAACCCATGGCAACAGTTTAAAAGCGGCCCAATTCTGTGGAAAAAACCGCGGACTTGGTAATCAAGAGCTGCAGAAGTCAGATTTTATTGATCCCAGGTCGAGAATAAGGAGAGATGACTGAAAAGACCATGCTTGAGTATTTGCAGCTCAACAGATCGTGAGTTCATTGACAAATATCTGATCTTGTAAGATGTGCTCCCTATACACAGAGTACATAATATTAGAATGTTTAAAGGAGTGGACACGAAAATTGCGGGAGCATGCAGCAATGGTCAGAGATTCAGCGGGAGCGGGATAAAGAAAACAGCCGAATCCCAGACATTTTGAGCGATTAAGAAATCCCGGCCGGACGCATTTTTGTAGGTACAAAAATAGGACATGTCCGGGGAAAAGAGGACGTATGGTCACCCTAGTTGTGTCCTTTAACTAGTCTTTAACAGCATTGACAGGTGTCTGGAACCTGCATAGAGGTTGGTGTTTGTCTAACATTATCTGTCTGCTTAACTTTCTGTGTCCACCTCAGGTGACTTGAGCCGTGCGGAACTGATGATGATGACAATTGCAGATGTCATCAAGCAGTTGGTTGAGGCCCACGAACAGGGAAAAGATATTAACCTTAACAAGTCAGTGCATTTTTAAGTTTCAGAAACGCAATTGGAACTGTTTTCTCATTGGATAACGGTAAACTAAGACAGCTAATGTTTTTATAGAGTCAAGACAAAGACATCAGCCAAATATGGTCTCTCTGCACAGCCACGGCTAGTGGACATCATTGCTGCAGTGCCACCTCACTACAGAAGAGCCTTGGTGCCCAAACTGAAAGCCAAACCCATTCGGACTGCCAGTGGGGTAAGGATGGCATGTTGGCCCTTTGCAATTTGTATTAGGGTGGTGTAAAGATATCATAATGTAGAAATGAAACTGCAGCACAGAGTTTGATTTAATATTTCTTTGTAGATTGCAGTTGTCGCTGTGATGTGTAAGCCTCATCGCTGCCCACACATCAGTTTTACAGGCAACATCTGTGTGTGAGTATGACTGAAATAATGTGCCCTTGTATTTCTGGTACACTACCGTTCAAATATTTGGGGTCGGTAAGATTCTTCTTTTTTTTTATCAGAGTTTTCACAAACATTAATCAACACAACTGTTTTCACCACTGATAATATTAACAAATTCTTAAGTATATCAGCATATTAGAATGAGTTCTGAAGGATCATGTGACACTGAAAACTGGAGCTTTGCTATCATAAATAAATTACATTTGTATTGAAATGTACTGTGCATGTAAATGTATTGAAATAGAGATTGTAAATAATTGTAATAATATTTCACAGTATTTCTGTTTTACTGTATTTTTACTGTATACTATGAACATAAGAGATTTCTTTCAAAAAATTTGGACCAATCCCTAACCTTTTGAACAATAGCGTACCCCCGACCCTTTTTTTTTTATCCACTGGTATTTTATAGAATCCATTATGCCATCTATCTGAACAAGATAGCAGGATCTCCGGCAGAAAAATAGGCCCACAACATTAAACATCCAGCAGTATATATCATTGTACACATGGAGTACTTTTTTATCCCTGTGTGCACCAAACCCGTTTAAAGTTCCAGTCGTGTCTAGCAAATAAATATGCTGGAGTTTGTTTTTGGATGAGAGCGTTTTCTTTTCTAGTTTTTTCTTGAAACCCTCCCAAACAACATTTTTTAAAATTGTTTTTTTGAGGCTTTCTGACCCCAAGACTCAACTATTTTCTGCAGTTCTCCAGCTGTGATCCTTGGAGTCTTTGGCCACTCAAACTCTCCTCCTCACCATTAGGACGATATAGACAAACGTCCTCTTACTGTATTAGAGAAAAATATTTATTTCGTAATGTTATTTTCCCCCACTTTCACTTTTTTTTAAAACTTTAATTAAAGGTTAGATTTATTTATTTTTTTTGAATGAAAGATCAAGTGGATAACAATGCAGATTTATTTTCACAGCCTTCTTTGATCATATTAACCAAGGGTATGAATAATTTTTAGCACAACTTATATATATATATACTGTATAAATATATATATGAATGAAAACTTAATTTCAAGCAACATTTGATGATACATAACTGAAATAGCCTAACTATTTCTTACAAAGACAAGCGCATATGTGTGTGTGTGTTAAAACATATTAGTTATAACAACGACATCTCAGATGGCAGATAAAATGAATGAGTGATCGTTACAAAAGTGCGCTTGAAATATACTGAACACGGAAGCTCTAACGTCTATAACGCACTAGAACAGACCTCACTTTTTCTCACGTGTCACAAACGCACATTTCAGCATCTTCTTTTCCTTTTAATGGCTGTTGGCAAACCCACTTAAAGGTGCATACCGTCTCCTGCTGCACAAAACCGGCATGACAAGTGACATAAAATAAGGATCGGGCTCAGGAGAGCTGATAACGATCAGTTAAAAAATTGCTTGATTGGCCCCGATCCCGATCCCGATCCTTGAGATCGGCTCGGGACATCCCTAAAACATATATAAAAAATTCTCTGCTATTTTAAGTAAATTAAAAATTCAACACCAAAAACTAAAAGTAGTAGGCTAAGTGAATTTAGGCATCACTTCAATTTTACTGGTCACACACAACCATGGGGAGTACGACATGCAGTGAATGGAATTCTATTTATAATTCTGTGTACATAATCCACCTTGTTTTTCAACACAATAACATCACAGCAACAACTTCAAATAAGCCGTTTTCTGTGAATGTGTGAGATTTCTGGTTCATTAGCCACAGTAGGGAAATAACGAAAACTGAAAAATAAAACTGTTTGCACTACAAACCAGTGTGTTCATAATTAAGATAATACATTAAAATAATATGGTAAGACACACCAGTTTGCTATATCAAGCAGAAAAACAAGCTGTTTTTTACAGCTAAAAATAGCTGGAAGTGATTGACACCGGAAGCCAGTCCCATAAAATGTACAAATGGTAAATCCTGTAAGCCCGCTCTTACAGGGAAAATAAGGTGGATAAAAAACAAACAAAAAACCCCCCACAAAAGATCAAATCATAAAACATAAAAAAAAAAATCTGAAATAGATTTATCTAAAAAATAACAAATATGAAATAGAATATGTGGGTACCCAAGGAAAGACAAAATTCTTTGTGGCATAATGTTGGTTGTCTTTGTAATAATTATCAATCATCAAATGTTGCTTGAAATTAAGTTTTTTTTTTCTTTTCGTTTTAAATTGAAATGTAAAATTTAGGCACCACAAAATTATAATATATTTAAATTTTACTGGCCATACACAATTATACACAGTACAAAATGTGGTGAAATACTTTCTATAACTCTGTGTACATAAAAAAAAAAAACAATTAATAAAAATAATATAAATCAGAAATATAATATTTCTTGATTACAAATGGGTGCATTTAACAGTGTTAATAAATTATTAGTGAGCATTTCATGATGATGACAAAGGTAGTCCAAATGTAAAAATAGGGTGATAAATATCCAATATCGGCTGATATATACAATATCAACCAATATAGATAAAAAAACTTTAATATTGACCAAAGACTGATGTGACTAGTATATCATGAATGCCTACTCTTCAGAAGTAATTACACATAAATGTACTTGTCTTCAACCCATTACACAACTAGTCCAAGATCAGTCAATAAGTGCAGGAATTAGAGAGTTAGATAAAAGCATAGGGGATGGAGCAGCTGTGTTGTCTTATGTGTGTCTGGGGAAAATCACTAGTTAATAAGCTCTGACTTGGGACCAGTGTTTTTGTTGTTGGATAATATAAGTCCGTATAAGCAAAATGAACAAATGCAGGCCTTGGATCAGTTAAAGCACAGTGCCAAAAACCTCCTGGTGAGCAAATTTGGTAGTGTGGCCGTATTGGGAGGCTTTTGGACCAGTCTTCCACTATCAGAGCAGCTGCACTGGCTCTGCTTTCTGCCTAGTCACAGAACAATAAGACAGAATGTGGCATTTGGGCTCTTTGCTTAAATGATGATGACAAGATAAAGAGTGTTATTAGTCACATCTCCTGATATGTAATTTAACAGTTTAGCCGACATTAACTTGCACATTTATGGCTAACCAAGCAAATAAAAGCCTTCTTTTCACTTTGAACATTAGTCTAAGTCTGTCTAAATATGTATAAAGGTGACGTATGTGATTTCTGTGCAACTAACTTCACCAGCAAAACTGAAAAAATTATATCTTTTTATGTTTGATAAGATTCGATATCTTTTCAAAAAGCCTTTGCGTCAGTTTTGAACAAGTGGTGACTGGCCACCCTGATGACATCAGCTCCCTGAGGAAAGCTAGCGTTTTGAAGTTAGAATGAAAGGCAAAAGGGATGATTGCAAGATGTGGATAGACTGCCACTGCAGGGCGCTGTTAGTTTATTACTGTGTTTTTTGTGTTATTTAGTTTTTCTTGATAAGAGAGAGAGTGTGTGTGTGTCTGCACGTAGGCAGAGGTCCACAGGATTGTTGGCACACCACAGCTTATCAGCGGGTTTGTTAAGATGACACGATTGCCATAATTGTTCCGGCGGCTAATCAGCCAGAGATGGGGGAGACAACAGTTCGATTTCAGGCCCATTGCTTATCTCAGCAGAGGATGTGTGTGTGTGAGTGTGTGAGGGAGAGAGAAATAAAGCGAAGAAATGAGAAATGCTCTGTTGGTTTTATAACTACCGGTACATTGTCTGAAATCTGGGGATAGAACCAGGAGCTAAATGGACAGAAAGAGTTTTTGGGCTATTAAATGTCCATTAACATAACAGAACAATGTCAGGCATGTCAGGAAGCCAAAAACCATGCATTTCAGAATTATTATTAAATTGATGCAAACCAATACAGTTGGCCAATTGAAACCAGTTCAGTTGGAAAATAGTTTTCATATTATCATCAGAAACTGTAATAGGAAGATTTTTCATTTGGTTCAATGTAAAAATTCAAAAAACAAAAAAGCCATTTTAAAAGAGTTTTTTTGTTTGTTTGTTTTGTTCGTTTTGTTGATCAATCATACATTACACACACACATACATACATATATATGTATATAGAGAGAGAGTGTGTACACACACACACACACACACTCTCTCTCTCAGGGTCAGTACGATTTTGTTTATGGTTTTGAAATGTCTCAACAAGGCTGCTTTTTTGGATCAAAATACAGTAAAACAAGTAATATTGTGAAATAGTATTACAATTTAAAATAAATATTTTCTATTTTATATATATTAAAATTTAATTTATTACTATGATGGCAAAGCTGAATTTTTCCAGCTCCAGTTTCCAATTACTCCAGTTTTCTGTCACATGATCCTTCAGAAATTATTTAGTGCTCAAGAAACATTTCTTCTTATTATCAATGCTGAAAACAGATCCTGCTTAATGTTTTTGTGGAAATGATACATTTTCTTCAGGATTCTTTGATGAAAAGAACATTTAAAAGAACAGCATTTATTTGAAATTGAAATCTTTTGTAGCATTTTTAATGTCTTTACTGTCACTTTTGAACAATTTAATGTGTCCCTATTAATTTCTTTAAAAAAAAAGAATGGATACATGCATATATAAAAAAGTATCAGAATTTCTGAGCTGATATTCTTTTCCCCAGATACTCTGAACGCAGTAACAGCAAATGTGTCGGCATCACGATTGAGACCAGACCTGACTATTGTCTGAAGAGACACTTGAGTGACATGCTGGCCTACGGTTGCACCAGACTAGAGATTGGTGTACAGAGTGTTTATGAGGATGTTGCTCGTGATACCAACAGGTCAGAGTTTGTTACTTTTATAATAAGGGACGTGCCACAGACTAGAAGATGAGTGTTTAGTATTTGGATAAACTTGATCCTGGGATGCTATTAGTGTAACATCAGTGTTAAGACTTCCAGCTAGCCATTTTGTTCCAACAGATTTTAGCTCATGTTGGTAATTGTAGTTTACTCACTTGATTATGTGTCATTTAGGAATCATTTCGAGGGATTAGTAGACTTAGCAACTATGCTAATTACTCTATACTTATACTCTTTGGTGTAGTTGTAAGTGCTGTGCTGAATTTAAATGACCTTGTTACAGCCTTATGACCATTTAAAATTTGTTTTGGTCATTTATATTTTGTCTTACAAAACTAAGGATTATATTTCTTTAGTAACTGCATGTATCTTGGGCATGGTTATATTGAACTTATGTACTATGAACTAAATGTACTTACTGAACTCACTAACTTTTTCCAGAGGACATACCGTTCGGGCTGTGTGTGAATCTTTCCATCTTGCTAAGGATGCTGGTTTTAAAGTTGTAGCCCACATGATGCCAGACTTACCCAATGTCGGTATGGAAAGAGATGTGGAGCAGTTTATAGTAAGTACTTCATGGATCAGTATAATTCTACTGCATTCACCTATAAAATCTGCCACCAAACACAATGTGAAAATGGCAAAATGATTAAAGGGGTCATATGATGCTTTTTTAAAGATCATTATTTTGTGTATTTGGTGTAACAGAATATGTTGACATGCTTTAATGTTCAAAAAACACATTATTTTTCAAATACTTAACTTTGATAAAGAATATCTCTTTGGTTTTGAGACTTTAGTCTTTGCAACTTCAGGGATCTTATCTATGCACAATCAACTTGTAACACTCCAAAGAGAAAGGAAAACTTGAAATCACATCATATGACCCCTTTAAGCATGAGCGCAATCATGGAGTCATTTTATATTTTGGTAATATTAGTTTTATTGGTCAAAATAGTTTGGTGTACAATATATCAATAGTTCACCTAAGAATGAACATTCTGTCCTCTTACAACCTTTTTCTTCATGCTGTTCTAAACCTGTATGACTTTCTTTTGTGGGGTGTTTAGTTGTCATTTACATTCATATACACTACCGTTCAAAAGCATAGGGTTAGTATGAAAAAATAATAATACTTTTTTTAAAGAATGCATTAAAGGAGACATATTATGCCCCTTTTTACAATATGTAATATAAGTCTCAGGTGTCCCCAGAATGTGTCTGTGAAGTTTCAGCTCAAAATACCCCACAGATCATTTATTATATTATTTTGAAAATGCCTATTTTGAGTGGAAGCAGAAACAGATGTTTTTCGAGCCTTTCTCTTCAAATGCAAATGAGCTGCTGCTCCCCGCCCCTTTTCCAGAATAGAGCTGTGCCATTACAGCTCGTACCTGCTAAAAACATCTGTTTTGGTTCTGATTATCATGTTTATCGCGCTGAAAACATGCGTTTTAAACCATATGAGTTTAAACTTTTCTAAGTTTTCTGAGTGCACACATCCGAAGCACACAGACAGAAAGCGGCTTCAAAGACAGAACAGTTAGCATATTTTGCTCAAACTTTCGCCATGGCATTAGAGCTGGTACACCATTGTCGCTTGCGAAATCAAAATGACGGCGCCGTCGGTGGAAACTTACAGATTAAGCTCCGGGGACCTGATTATAGCACTTAAAACCTGGAAAAGTCAGATTTTACATGATATGTCACCTTTAAATTGATGATACAAAAGTGATAGTAAAGATATTTATGATGTTACTAAAAAAATCTATTTTTCTCTTCATCAAAGAACCCTGAAAAAAAGTATCACGGTTTCCAATATTAATAATAATATTAAGCAGCACAATGGTTTTCAACATTGATAATAACAAATGTTTCTTTTTGCCCAAATCAGCATATTAGAATGATTTCTGAAAGATCATGTAACAGTTTTAGGCAACTAGGCAACAGTTATTTTAAATTGTAATATTTTACAATATTATAGTTTTTACTGTATTTTTGGTCCAATAAATGCAGCATTGGAGAGGATAAAATATCTTTAAAAAAAAAAAAATCCTACCAACTCCAAACTTTTTTAATGGTAGTGTATATATAAAAATGGCGCAAAGAGACATGTCACGGCAGCTTTGATGTCAGTGATGTCAAACATCACTGTTTTTTTGTGTATTAACCATGCCAAATTTGAATATACACAGATGAGATTTTCAGTGGAGAGTGTTGTTGTTGTTGTTGGGTTTTTTTTGCGATTTTTGGAAAGACCGTGTTTAAAATTCTGCCAAATGTTTCCTTTGGTGTTTGCTTGAATAAAGTAAGTCATGTAGGTGAGGAAATTATGACACAATTTTCATTCTAAAACACTTTCAAAAGTGCTACCTGAATAATCATGTTTGGATTACTTCAAATAAGCCTCAAGCATAAGCTTCAAGAGGATTATGGGAAGTAGTGCTTTGCAATTTAAGGTCCTCAAACTTACAACTGTTTATTATGTAAGTTCTTTTAATGTAAATGAACTGAGGAGCTGAGAGACAGACAACTGCAGAGGGTTATTTAAATGCAAAGGTTTATCTCTGTATACCTCACAGGCTACGCAGGTGGTTTTCAAAATGTAATTTTCATCAACTAAACGACTTCAATTAATCAACATTTCTGTGAAATGGCTGTTGGGATATCCAAAATTTCCATATTACTTTCGGGTGCTCTATTAACTTTGACACTCAAAGTATCAGAAACTACTGAGCCATAGTCGTCATCAAGCAGGCTTCCCAGAGGTAATAGGACAAGAAATGAGAAATCATATATCGCTCCTTTAGAAAAGTTTGAATAAACAATAAATAGCAAAATGAAATCGTTTCCCATATCACACAGCCCTAGGTTACAATGCAGAGAGGCAAAAGTGGTTGTACACATGAGATGTACAGTACAGGAACAGACTAACATTTTTATCCCGAGGAGAAATCCACTTTTATCGGGTGCAGTAGCTAATTGTTACATAGCAGGAATGATGGGTGAATGTAAATGAAGTGGGGAGTGATGTGCCATGGCAGGCTGCTCTTTTATGGCCTCTGTCAGTGTCCAGCTGTGACGCATTGGTTCGCATTATCAGGGGCTTCATTATGTGAAGTGAATAGAGCATTCATTATGGTGGGTTTCATTACCGAAGCATGGAGATCCAATCAGTGACTGCGCTCTGGAACCCATTCAAAGTGCTTCTCTCTGAAAGACTGTATTAAACACCAACCGGGAGCAATCCAGGTGCCAACAGGTTTCTTTGATGTCTTAAGCGAACACTGTCAGTGCACGATCTCGGGAGTTTAGCGATTTTAAAGCGGGTGATTATTTCCCATTAGGAGAACAGAAGAGCCTAGAATGAAGTGAATGACGTTAATGTTGCATAAGAAACATCATGATTAACTGAGTGCAGTTATATAAATAATATTTTGCATTAACAGTCTAATAAATGCCACTTAACTGTAGAAGAGAACCATTAACTTTTTATTGCAATCATCCAGTCTCTAGAGTCTCGGAAGGCATGTGTATCTAAAGCTAAAAGTCTTCGCTTCGATTTTGACATTGTTGTACCAAGCCCACATTACACCTACCTCATTTCCCCCTGGGAGGCTCTTACTGCCTCCACACTGCTGCAATCAACAGCCAGCTCCAAAATATTTGGACAGCAATACCTTTTTACTCTTTATTTGCACAATTTGTAATTGTAATATTGCAATTAGAGGCTAAAGGTACAAACAGTGTATTTTAAAATATTCCCTTTTTTACACTTTTGTGACTTTTTTGGCCCCTTTAATGTTAGCCAGTGTTTATTGGAGGCAATTCTGATTAAATAAAATGTAACCAGTGTGATTCTTTTACAAGAGCTCTTAATAGTGAAATAAACTTTTTTATCAAAGTTCAGGAAAGTTGCCAATAAAGGGTTTAGGATTGTGCTCAACAATTATTTGTGCACAATCTTTGCCCTGACATGACATTTTTAATGTGACTTTAGGATAGGGATGCACCAATATTAAAGTTCTTGCTGATACAATTAATTATTATCATGTTATGGTCGTTAACCGATAAATGGTCGATGTTACAATTCTGGCCATTACCAATAAGATGGTTAATTATTTTCATGTTATGGCCAATAACCGAAAAGTTACGAATATTAAAATTCTGCCTGATGCTAATAAGATGGTTAGTTATTTTTATGTTGGACATTAATCGTTAAATTACCGATATTAAAATTCTGGCTACTGATGATTAATTAATATCATGTTATGGTGGTTAAACGATAAATTTCCAATATTATTCTAACACAGATAAAATGATTAATCATCATGTTATGGCTGTTAAGTGATAAATGACCGATATTTAAATTCTGCCTAACACAATCAGTTATTTTCCTGTTATAGTCATTAACCGATAAATATTAAAGTTGTATACAATTTTGTCTAAATAAATTAAAAATAAAACAATAAAAACTAAAATAATTTAAGCATCCCATTATAATGTGCAGTATAAAAATGTACTTTCATGTTGATATTTGCTAAAGATGATATTTAACCATGTTATTAAATTAGTGTTATTTGCATTTTGTACTCTCTGCAGTTAAGCACAAGGCAAGGCACCTCTTCTTTTCTATCTGTAGATATGAGTCAGCATGACCACATCCTAGCAAACTCACTTGCAATATAATATTCAGTGTGTTCGTCAGAACAAAGTGCCTGCCATTTTGTTTTCCACTTCATATTCCTGACTATGCTGTTGCTTTTTTAATTACAGTGAAAAGCACCTACTCAAAACATAGTTTTGACGATAATCGGCTCATTGCTTTACCATTCTGCCTATTAATTCCATCAGCGCTTTATTGGAATCCATTTCACGCATATGTACATTTACATTTAGTCATTTTGCCGACGCTTTTATCCAAAGCGACTTACAATTGGGAAATACATAAAGCGATTCTTCTTAAAGAGGCAAACAGACACAGGAAGTGCTTGAAATACCAAGTTTTAGGCATTGTTCAAATAAGTACAAGCTAGAAAAGGGAAGGAATAAATGAAGAGAAATAATTTATTTATTTTTTTTTTTTTTAAGATGAAGTCAAGTAGCGTTTAAAGAGATGAGTTTTCAGCTGTTGCTTGAAAATTGTCAGGGATTCAGCATTCCGGATAGGATGCTCACGAAGAACATCGGATAATCAGGGGTTAGAAGGAGCAGCCCGTGCTGGCCTGGAGGAGAGAGGACAAATATTGTCTAGACAAGAGGTTAAAGTAGAGCATAACAAATCCAGGTCTCAGTCAAGCCCAAGATGCTGAGTGTGGATTGTAAAGAAAAAGCCGAAATGAAGTCTGCTTTGTTGACAGCTGACTGACAATTCCAGAGACCCACAGAGAAAGAAAGAGGTGCAGTAGAGGATGTAGAGATAGAATGCAGGTTAGCAGGTTGGCGTTGGCGTCTGCGTGTATGTTTGAGTGTATATTAATTCGTCTCTCACACACCTGTTGTGATATCTCTGTGATAGAGAGCCATTAGAAGGCAGTGTGTCAGAGCAGGAGAGAGGGAGATTAATGGCTGTGGAAGGTAGACTCTGACCCCACCGCTATCAGCTCTTCTCCTCTGCCACCGTGTGCCCACACAACCTCACCTGTGTCACCCACCAGCAGCACTCGGCCGGTTTATCTCACCTAACCTGCTTTCTGTGATGCTCGTGCTCTCCTCTTTCCCTCCCTCTTCCGTATTTGCTCGCTCGCTCTCCGTCACGCCTCCCCCCACTTTTCGAGACGGGAACCTGTCGGCGCTATCTCAGGACGAGTGTGCGGTGGAAAGGAGCGTGGCTCAGTGATAATGGAATCCCATTACTGACTCGTCCGACTCTCACTGCTCACTTATCAGACTGTTTGCAGGCTCCCCCCTCCCTACATAAAAAATAACACTCAGCGTAAATATATCACACAAAGACTTAATTTGACTCTTAGAGTAAGGAGAAGCTCAAAGCGCATAGCTAGTCGTGACTCAAATAATCCGTAATTTCAATTTGTCTGTTAAAGGCAACTATTTTTGTTTGTTTGTGCTATTTAGAGTTTAAACGCACCAGTGTCCAGTTCGATGATTCACTTGTGTGTCAGGAAGCAGGACAGTACCAATTAAATGTCCACTGACATTGTCTCTTTGATTGTAATGGTTACGTTTCTGAGTGTGCTCCGTGACCCCTGAGCTTTTCAAAGTGACAAGGGTAAAACAGATTCCCTCATAATTATGCGTTAAGTAGAAGATGTAAGCAAGATCAGTGATGGAGGTCATGAGACTTCATTTAGCAGTTTACCAATTCTTGAACGTGAATGATGTTACTTTCCAAGTACAAAGTCAGTTTAAGATTCAGTTTAAGGTTTCTTTAGTAACAAGTTTGGAAAAAGATAACTGGTAAATATATTCATAAAAGATATATTTGTAAATTTTTGCTGTTATACTTTTATAATAACGTAAGTGAAGTCTTTATTATGAGTGGTCAACCGATATGGGTTTTTCAATGGCAAATCCCAAAAATTAGAGTGCATGGTGACTTATGGCTGATATTATGCCAATATATCATAAATATTTTCGTTTTATAATGTCAATGAAATATTTAACGGAAAAAAAAATTACCCCAAAAAGATTTAATTGAAAATGATTTTAATGTTTTTATCAGTGTTGCAATAACAAACTCATGTACTCATTACTGGTTCTAGAAGTAAGTCTCATGTTTGCACTGCTCTGCTAAAACTCTTGTCTCTGTCACCAGGAGTTTTTTGAGAATCCTGCATTCAGACCAGACGGGCTCAAACTTTACCCTACACTGGTGATTCGAGGCACTGGATTGTATGAGCTGTGGAAAACGGGCCGCTATAAGAGCTACTCCCCCAGTGCCTTAGTGGATCTAGTAGCACGAATTCTAGCGCTGGTCCCACCATGGACTCGTGTGTATCGTGTACAGAGGTAAGGCAGTATCTAAACATCACAAATTGACCTCACAAACATGGAGGAAAAGCTCTATGAAATCTCTATAAAAATCTATGCTATTTTGTATAATAATAAATTTTAAATAAAATACTAAAAACTAAGTAAAATAAGTGAGTTTATGCATCAAAACATTATAATGTACAGTATAAAAAAAATTATGTATTTATTATGAGATATGTCAAATATTACATTTATTATTTATTAAAGATTACATTTATTAGTATAGATTATTGGTGTTTTGAAACATTAACTTTAATTAAGCATTAAATTATGGTAATTTGAATGTAAAAATAGAAAAAATGTGCATTAACAATTAAATATCCAATATCAAATGATACTAGTAAATAAAAAAAAAACTCTAATATGAATAACCAATATGGTACCAATGTATCATGCATCCCTAATTAATTATTTACCCAAAACAGAAGCATTACCTGTTGCCTTATATTCATTCTAATGTGACCAACATTTAGTTTTGCTAAGCTGATGATCTCTGGCCTCTTTCAGGGATATCCCAATGCCATTGGTGAGCTCTGGGGTGGAACATGGCAATCTGAGAGAGCTGGCATTGGCCAGAATGAAAGACATGGGCACTGAGGTAACCTTAATTATCAATCATTTAGTTTGTTTGATGTATGAATTCAAGGCCATTAAGTACAAACTGCCGTTGATCCCTACAGTGTAGAGATGTACGAACCAGAGAAGTGGGCATACAAGAGATTCATCACAAAGTTCGACCATATCAGGTATTTCATGTTCTGTGTAACCAATTAGCAGAAACTTGTTGTTAAAGTGTGTAGAGTTAGCGACTGAAAATAATTTCTGTGCTTCTTGTAGGTAGAGCTGATCCGCAGAGACTATGTGGCTAATGGAGGCTGGGAGACCTTCCTGTCTTATGAGGACCCCGAGCAGGACATTGTAATTGGTCTCCTGCGTCTTCGTCGCTGCTCACCACAGTCCTTCCGGCCTGAGTTGAAGGGTGGCGTTTCCATTGTTCGGGAGCTGCATGTCTACGGAAGCGTGGTCCCTGTCAGCAGCCGAGACCCCAGCAAGTTTCAGCATCAGGTAGACACCTTATTTCTGCCAGTAAAACACGGCAAAGTAACTTTACTGTCACTTGGAAAAATGATGAACACATGATTTGTAGGGGTGTAACGGTTCACAAAATTCACGGTTCGGTTCGATACGACCAAAGATTATAGAATACCCAAGACATGTCATGCGGAAGCGTGGTCCCTGTCAGCAGCCGAGACCCCAGCAAGTTTCAGCATCAGGTAGACACCTTATTTCTGCCAGTAAAACACGGCAAAGTAACTTTACTGTCACTTGGAAAAATGATGAACACATGATTTGTAGGGGTGTAACGGTTCACAAAATTAACGGTTCGGTTCGATACGACCAAAGATTATAGAATACCCAAGACATGTCATTCGTATAGTTTTGAATGGTGAAAAATGCAACGCTCAATATGGCCGCTCAATCGCAGGAAGCCCCGCCTTCTGAATGAAAGAGCCAATCGCTATTTGAGCAGAAGTAACAACATTATTGTCAGATTTGTAAAGAATATCTCTTTGGATTTGAGACTTTAGTCTTTGCAACTTTACAGATCTTCTTTATGCACCAAGAGCTTGTAACACTCCAAAGAGAAAGGAAAAATTTAAATCGCATCATATGACCCCTTTAAAAGGACTTTGATACGACACAGGGGTGTCACGGTTCGGTATGTTTTCAATACAGCAAAAACAAAGAAATGCCAGACAAATTTCCTTGATTTTTTTACTTTGGAAGGCCTTTTGACTTTTGCCGTTTATCTAAGATGATTTTGGAAACTTATTTAACATTCGTTTCTTATTTATTTGGTTCCACCGTGTTTGCTGATTTTCAGTGTTTTATATTTAAACTTTGTGTAAGTTATTTGTTATTTTATATTAGGCCTATAGCATGGTGTATTTGTAACAAATGAATATTTGGGTTGAAGTGTTCTGGAACAGTGTTGTAAATACAACTTAACCACTGATTTCTAGTCGTGTCCTCTTTTGGAAGGCCAAACAAAGTAGTTTCGCTTTCACAACGAAACACATGGCGGGCTAGAGTGAGCGAGTGATGAACGGCCGGCGGCTAGAGTGAGTGGAGGCGGGCGGGCTTGAGAACGGTGCGGCCGGTTTTCAGTGTTTTATATTTAAACTATGTGTAAGTTATTTGTTATTTTATATTAGGCCTATAGCATGGTGTATTTGTATTCGTTTTGTTAATAAATTAAACATTCTATGTTTAATGTAAGTAAGTTTGTCGTACTATTTTGTTGTTGTCAATTCAATCAATTGACGCCGAAATGCCGCTAGTTCGAAAGTGAAAGTAAAATGCGCACAAGCATTTACAAACTACTTAAAAGCGAATAAAAGCGAGGAAAAGACAGAAAACTCTAACGAACTACCTCACCGTCACAACCTGGAGTACATTATATTTCACACACTTTAAGCTCTTTTTTTCCCAAATGTAATGGGATTACTCCAACAAATCGTTCGGTTTGTAATGCGTACCGAACCGAAAGCCTCGTACCGAACGGTTCAATACGAATACGTGTATCGTTACACCCCTAATGATTTGTCATTAATAATGGTTAAATTGTAAAACTACTCCTCTTGCATGGGGATAAATGTGTACATTTTAATATTTCATTTTTATTTAAGGCTTTTGTCTTTTTTCAGGCTTTTTCATGTATTTTACATAGTTTCACTGACTGCACATTCTAATGTTCTTTTTCTCCTCGTGTGCATTTGTAGGGTTTTGGGATGATGTTGATGGAGGAGGCCAAGAGGATAGCCAGGGATGAGCACGGCTCGAGCAAATTGGCTGTTATCTCAGGTATCAAAAATATTCTCAGCATTAACGGAATGGCGCATTAATTTTGTTGATTCTTCTCTTGCCCTCGCTAGAAAAGAATGAATACGAAATTTTGACATGCACCTCGCCAAATCAGCTGCAGGATGGAGATAACAGCAATTGGAAAATAAATTAAAATCTGTATTCATATTATTCCGGCTCTGATGCTTTAATGCGAGTGCGTGATAACTTTTGTACTCGCATGTCTGACAAAGAAAGCAAAACAACAACTGTAGAATGTATTGGAAATACAGTGGGGTTTTCTTGCTTTAAGTATTTTGAATCGGTATGGCAACCTTGGCTGAAATGATGGTTCCTCTCAAATGACTAAAAAGGGTGATATTATTTTTCCTTCAATCAGAGCAAATTCATTAATACCAAGATATATATTGATATAACAATTTAAAATAACTGTTTTCTATTTTAATATTAAAAAAAAAATTGGTCCTGTGATGGCAAAGCTATATTCTTAGCAGCTATTCCTCCAGTCTTCAGTGTCACATGATTCTTCAGAAATCATTCTAATATGCTGATCTGGTGCTCAAAAATCATTTCTTATTTTTAATGTTGAACTTTTGATGAATTGTCATTTTCTCAAATTTGCATGTTTTTGGTCCAAATAACATACCCCAGGGTGCCTCCATTAGAGCATGCATTATTGAAAGAAAGATTCTTATCTACTGTAAATTTGAATTTTTGGTCATGTTTTATTTTTTTTTTTTGGGTTCAGGTGTTGGAACAAGGAATTACTACAGAAAAATGGGTTATGAACTGGAGGGGCCGTATATGGTGAAAAACCTTTACTGAAGCAGAGAGGAATCCCTGGAGAATATCGTCTGACATGCAGGACACTGACTTTAAGGGGATCTTTACACCCCACCTATAATTGGACTGGGCATGAGGACTACAGAGAGCGTGTGTGTGGTCAGCACAAAGCAGACTGCACTATTCTGTTACATGCCAGCCAAAGAGTGTATTCTGTAGTTCTCTTATAAAGACCAAGATGCAAGTATCAGTGCTTGTTAGAAACATACACCATTCTCCCTTGGCCTTAGTATACTTGCCAGTGCATTTACTTCTCTGGGATAACACTTATTATTTTTGGTTTCTACTGACAACATTGGACATAATGGAGGAAAAAAACTGCAGCGGCTTTGAGTTATCCCGTTATAAAAGTGCATATTTTTCATGTGGATTTGTGAGGGGAAAATAATTTATGCTTGCTGCTTGGCACATTTGATTAATCCACCATTTTTCCTGTTGTTAACAAGTATGTTTTCTTGGCTGTGCATGAAAAGAGTTCATCTGGTCTTTTTTTTTTTATTGTTAATAAAAGATATTTATCCAGGATTTCAGTAATTTTCACATGATTGTACATTGTCATAAATCGCATGTTGGCACAAAGGCATACGGTTTGGATGGAGTCGAATAGACATAATACAGCCATCACTGAACATTCAAAGGAATTAATGGGTAAGAAATCATCCGCAGCACTCTCTCTTTCAGATATGAAAAACTGTCGCCAAAATGATTGAAATTCAATTGCTTCTATTTTTGACAGAATGAAAAGTTCACTGGAACTACTCCGCTGCGTTTTAGTGTCTGTCACCACACCACCAATTTCTGAGAAATGTGCGGCGTGGTGAGAGCTCTCCTCCGCAGGAGACCTCATGATATGTCCGCTGATGGGTTTTTACTGCTTCATTTGACATCGCAATAACAGATTATATCGCTATCTCTGTCTGTGAGTCAAGGTGTCAGGCGAATGATGACCGACCACCCTTTAAAGCTAAGCTCAGTCAGATCACACTTGTAAGAGGTTTGTCATCAGAGAAATGGCCTCCAATAAATGGCAAGATGTTGTTTTGCCACCACCCCACAATAAAGTGATGATTTAACAATGGTTGATCTCGTAATTTCCTGGCACAGATCTTTTGTTAGGACTTTAATGGCTTAATAACCTCACCGTTAAAACGATGAACAGTGAACATCAATGTGTCATCCTACACACCAATCAGCAGCTTTCACTAAATCTCAGTAAGTTTTAACTAGACAAACCCATAACAGATTTCGCTGATTACACTGGCTCATAACTGTCATTATTCCTCTAAAGTAAAGTCTTACCAATGCAGGATTAATACTGATGTAGCCGAGATGATGACCTCAGAGAATGAACGAGTGCTGTGTTTAGATAATGTGCATAATTCGCCACCGAGGTCAAGATGAGCCATCGCAGCGTTTCATTTGCAAACCAGCGAAGCGTGAGGAAAAGGGCAAAGTGTCTCTAGAGATGGAAATGTCACAGATGAGATCCACTTAGAAGGATTCTCAGACGCTTTATGTTATTGCCGGTGAGGCTGTAAGGTTTCGAAACCCTTGAACACTCTCGAAAGTCATTAATATTCAACTTTGGCATTATTATTGGCCTTCATCAACTCAACACTGAAGTTAACTGCTCTTTGTCTTGATCACAGAGATCTGTTAAAAAAAAGTCCGCTGATTTACTGTTACAGACGTTTTTCATTTTCTAGACCTGCGAAGTATTGAACACAAATTGAGCCAAATATCATTTATATCCATCACAAAGGGGGACTTTAATTTCCTGTGGAAGATGGAGCACTTTCCCCAACCAGAAAACCATCTGAAGCATCCTGTAAAGACAAAACCATCTACAAGACTGGCCACTAAAGCCACAGAAACCATGACAGTCCTGTCAGTGGAAAACAGTCGATCTGAATGATTGATACTTGTGCCATTTTTCACAGATACACATTACGGGAAACAAAATTATTTCCCCTCAATCTAGATATTGAACATGCGCCACCAGCTATGAAACTTCAAAGGTTTCAGTCATTTTGACTTTCTATAATTACACTGTCGCTTCAAGGTGGCGATTTGTGGTGTGACCATTCTGAATGCTCAGTTTCTCGTGTCTTGCTGCGTCTGACAACACAACTATAACTGATTATGACTGGCTATCCTCATAAGCATGAAAGCTGTGTTACAAATTCTACAGATAAAGGAAGTTTGGACTGGGAAAATGTGTTTTTCCACACAATACTGTATTGTTTCACTTATTTTATATTGTTCTTTAGTTGACTTCTCAATAAATACCTAAAATTACATTGACATCACCACAAAATAGAGCAAAAGCTTAGTTACACTAATAGGGCTGCACGATATTGAAGAAGGCAGTATGATAATGCTTTAAGTGTGCGAACTTTTAGAAGTATTAAAATCATTCCATTATCGCAAGTCATGAAATGCATATAGCAATTTATTAATTTGTGATATTTGTATGTATATCATGCAGCCCTATATACTAATTATATTGAAATTATAGAACAATTCAAAGCATCACACAGTAACAGACACACGGCACTTAATGAAAATTCCAGGCAAATAACAAATCTATAAATCTCAATTTCAACTTTTTTTTTTCAGTTTTTCAGTGTATAAAGGAGACTGGTTGTTAGCATGTTGCTCTGAGATCAGTGGACCTCTATGGCACGCCGGACCCTCTTCTCCAGCTGGTCTGCCGTGGGCCGGATGTCAGGGTCAGAATCTAGCATGTCCATCAGCAGCTCGCACATAGCAGGGTTTGGAGGTGGCGGCAGTGGCGGAGTGCGTCGTGCCCTCATAGGGATGATCAACTGCAGGTCGGGATTCTGACACAGAGCCTCACCTAATGGGATGAGCCAGCGGCCTCGCATTACATATGCACCTAGAACACCACAGAATAAACAGGAAACAGATGTTATGCTTAATCAATTTTCAAGCACTTTGTGAAACAGGTCCTTCATTCATTCCTGTCTGAGGAGTTTCCTTTGATCTCCCAATTGGTGCATTTGAATTTGCACCATTCATTATAGTTCAACAACACTAAAAAGCGGCAATAAAAACAATCCAGTGCATTTCTTCAAAGCACATGCCTGGCACAAACTCATTATTCACAAAACTTCAAGGCAAACCCACCACACAGAGAGGTTAATGGGTGGGAGGATGTTAATTGCCCTTATATAAATAAGCTGCGACATCTGACCTTTCTGTACGCCTGCTAGCAGCGTAGAAAGTCGCTGGGTTCGAGCAATTACTGATGACTGCCTGAATAGCTTATGCACTCCATCCAAAACCTGCATCCTCAGACCACTTTAGTTTATCTCAGCTATTACGCATTAAGATAATGGAGTACTATGTCAAATGCTCAACAACAAAGCTTTCACAGCGGTCTAAATTGGTCTGGATGAGGTAACCAGTAAGAGGAGAAACTGAAATAGCCACCTGTCTGCGAATGCTAGTGAAGTGAGGCTCTGAAAATTGTCAATGTTCTATTCCTGTTCCTAATTTTATTCCTATTTTTGTGTAATAGCTGTGACAGTGACAATGGTGGGTTTTATATTAATCTTCCAACCCATCATAAGACCTCATTTACCGCATATACAAGTTCCATTTCATTTTAATCATAACAATACATGCATCATGGATCTAGATTGATTAAATAACAAAGACAAAAACATTAAAAACATTAAATGGGTACTGCTAAATGAGCCAAAGTACCCCCCTCCCAACTAACCCAGTTGTTCTTGATTGGTGCCATCCTCTAGGAAAGTGATTCTCTCCAGCACAGCCCAGAAAAGCACACCCAGAGAGAAGATGTCAGCCTGGGCTGTATAACTACGACCTGCCCAAACTTCTGGAGCCATATAGAAGTCTGAGCCGCAGGTAGAGGAAAGAGCCAGTCTACTCTGGACACCATCTGTAGGATTGTCCACCATCTTACTGAGGCCAAAGTCTGCCACCTGTAAGACATAAGGAAGAAGTTAACATGGTTTTAATAACTAGAACCACCTTTTAGATCTGGGGAGTGAAATAAATTTTTTTTTTTTTTTACATTTATATTAACTTAATAACGATTAAATGTATTTAGTTAAATATTTAATAATATTAAAATAATATAACATTTCAAATTAAAATATTATATCTACAAAACCATTCATATATATTCAAATCATTTCTTCACTGCATAGGACAGTTTCACTGAACAAGGGACTCAGGCTATTCATTTTCTTAAAAAAAAAAAAAATTTTTTTAATTTAAAAAATTTAAATCTAGTCAAATATTATTGACAAAACGTATGTATTTTTTAATGCAGTAAAGCCCCAAATATACTTGCATTGGAAAATTTTGGAAACTACAAAAGCATTTATTTTAACAACTAGAGATAACTATAATTCTAGATAAGCCCAGGGCAACTTTGTGCTATGCCTAATATTTGACTGGTACACATTTAGAGCACAATTCATCTGTCACTACAAAGCACACTACATTGATTGTCTCTACATGCAATGAAACGTAAAAACTCATTATTTGAAACTTTAGAAGAATGGATTTTAAGACAATCCATTTCATACTTTATCTGTAAGGTGATTGTTTTGCTAGTATTTGTATTGATTAACAGAATAGGCTCAAATGTTCTGGCACGTTTCGTGATTATACAAAAA